GCTTTCTAAACAGCTTCTGTAAAGCATGTAGAATAAATGGTTGAACTGACCTGTCACATTTCCATGATAAGCTCATCACTTTATTGTTGCACCCCCAAAAATAATCCTATTTGGGGACCCTGCTGGTGAAAACTCAGGCCTGTGCACCATATCAGCATTCTTTTCAGCAGCCTAGGTAATCCTGGAGATATATGCAGCCTGGAACAACCCCCACCATCATATTTCCAGCATGAAGTCCATAAGAGTATATTCTTCCATACTCTTGTACCATGCCTCCTTCCCTTCCTATACACGTGCATCTTTTTGCTCCCCAAGCACTTTGTAGTGCTGCCAGTGCAGTAGCCCTCTCATTTTACAGGCTGACCGTAAGCCAAACAAAGAAGTGATGTCTTGGCAGGATGAATATTCCTCCCACATTCCACAGGACTCACAACGGGCACTCCCTGCCAAAAGGCTAATTCATAGCCATGAAGGCGGCCAGACCATCTTAAAGTCCCATTGAGACTCAGCATGAGGGCTGTCAGAGGATGTGTACCTGCCTTACAGTAACCCATTTGCTCTATGGAGAATAAAAGCACAGAACTAAAGTCAAATTCTTCTTAAAGCCACAAAAAAATGAAACCACAGAGATATAAATGGCATAAGAATAAGGAACATTATATATGCAGAGAGTGATCTGGTCGTATCAGAAATTAAACTATAGGGTATAGTTAAGATCTTAGCCATTGCCAACATTCACATCCAAACCATGGCACTATGCATAGTACTCTCATAAATAATGGACAGTCACAAACTCCGTGCATTTTAATATCAGTCTGAAATGGTTGTTAGAGGGACACTTTTCAGTAATGCATTTTGGCACACAGGAACAGTATGTTATCATTATGCCTGCAATGAAAACAGTACAATAGTCTACAATTCCTAATTCACAGCTCATAACAACATAACAGGTTATGAGCTACCCTACATATTCTTATTTTTAGTGTTCTGTACATCCAGAATGTCTTCTTCCTGTTTATTAAACCTGTTACTGTATCTTGTGCACAATTACAAATTCAATTGCAAAAGGGCAAGGATTTTTCTTTCTGTGCAGTGCCGCTCACAGAGAGGAATCTGTATCTCATCAGACCTTTTAGACACTGTAATTGAATTTCCTAAATAAATTTTAATGATAGTAATTTTGCAAAATGTTAAGCAATATTACAATACATTACTGGGTAATAACCGTGACAGCACCATCTCATGGTAGTGCTTGTTCAAAATGACACTGCCAAGCTTCACCGATTTTGGAAACAAATGCAACAACTGTAATTTCCCCTGAGATACATGGTTAAATCTCAAAATCAGGTGGTGACTAAAGCTAGATGTGTTCCAGTAAACTATGGAATGGGCTTGGCTTTTGCCACACTTTAATAACATTAAATTGCTAGCAAGGTTGCTACCTGAGGTTTGGCTTTCCCATATGGTTGCTAAGCATGCTTCAGGGACTAGTGTGGTCCAGGGAACACTTCCAACAGCAATTCTGATGCAGCTGCCTGCTCTTCAATATTAGGGCGGTTTCTCTTTATGAAAACACATGCATTTTAGAATTGGGTGTTGGGGCTAGAGAATGCTCCTGGCCCATTACTATTACAGCACAGTCTAAATGTGGCTGTTATGGTCCCAGTTGATTGTGTCCCCAGTTCTGTCCCCCAGATAGTTAAAGACATACCAGCTAGGCATCAGAGTGTATTTTGTACAATATTTAAAAGCATATTTTAACTGTAGTTTGTAAGTTCTTTCTCTGTAGTACCAAATATTGTCAAATTGTTTATCATGTAAGAGGTTTGGATTCGTAATGGTAAACATAACACAGTGATTTCATTAAGTATTGTATTTTGATTATACATCAATTCTGTAACTAAGGCAATTTAATGTTATCATTAGCAATTACTGTGACACATTTTGTATCTATATGTATATAGACAGAAATGCATAAGCTGCTTGCGTAACCTTCTTTTAGGGTAATGTAACATCCAACGTGATTTGAAACTCCGCTTGCTTCTGTCTGCAACAGATGCCAAATGACTTTTCTCCCTTAACCTTTCTCCAAAACAGTGTGGATACCATAAGAGTGGTTGCCTCTCCACACTGCAATTAGAAGGGCTAGCTTTGGCTTTTGGTTGACCTGATATGGGCCAGTTTTGCCAGAGAGTCTTTTATTAGCTTAGTACAATTTCTTCTGGTGAAAAATTTCCATTCTATTAAAAAGTGTGGTATAGTCAATATCAGAGTGGTGAAAAATTCCTTTGCCGGGATAGTTTATTTCACTCAGAAATCCAGTACAAACTGCTCCAGCAAGTGTGCTTTTTTTTTTTTTTACTGCAATAAACTGCATCTGCACTACCACAGTAAACATTGCCTAGTATACAGCAAGCCTGAGACTAAAGGGATTTTGGATTATGACTTGATATTCTGAGATGGAGCGAGGGATGGTTTTGTTATAGAGGATGGTCTTCAATCAAGTTAAGATAGCTCAGTTATAAAGTTGTAAAAAATTTAACTACAAGAATTTCTGCTTTTCCCTACTTCAGACTGTGTTTCAGTTACTGCCCAAGATGAGCATCTTTCTCTGACACAGCCTATGTCAACTGACTAAACTTCGTGAAAAGACACACCTTAGAGATCTAACAAATATACCAGTAAGCTTCAGTTGCAGAGAAGGTTAAACCCTTCATTGAGAGAAGTTTTATAACCAAGTTAGTTGAGCTGTCCTGCCCATGATTAATGCATACACTGTCTCCAAGGGAAAGACACCACTGCAGACACAATTCATGAAATACTAACTGTGTGATTCTAATTAAGATATAGGCTGTTGCATTAAGCAGATTAAGCTAGGTTAAGGAACTTATCCTTCCAAGTGGTTAATGAAATGGTATACCCCAGAAGCTTATTCAATAAAAAAATTGTTTCAGCTGTTAAATTTAACTATGGCAAAATAAAATGCATTGACCCCCAAAATAACTCCACTTTGCTACCTCTCAGTATCTGTGCAGTACAAAGAATCTCCCCAGTATTTTTTTCCATCTGTAGTGGACAATATATAGGGCCATTCTGAGTAGTAAAAATGCAGGAGTGCATACCACTGAAGGAAATAAAATTATTAAAACTCCTTTTCTTAAGACTAGGTGCCAAGCAGAAAACTCTTACCTCATGCACAGATGGCTGGAACCATCCCGTCTGTTAATAACAACTTCTGGCCTCCAACTCCTGCAGGATCCCAGTGTCACTCCTCTAAGCGTATTAGCAGGTCTGGGGTGTATTAAGAGTCAGATCTCTGTTCTGGGTTTACACAACTGTTTGAGCACAGATGTCCCATTGGGACTTTTCCTTAGTTTAAATATATTTGTGTGCCTAATATGAAGGAAAGATCAAAACCTACCAAAGCAGCAGGACTAGACTGAGTTGGCTCTTGGGAAGACTGGAACAGGAAACTAGTTTAACATCCTGGTTCTGTTGAAGAGCACATCTGAAGTTAAATTTCCTCCTGTTGTACACACTGGAGTGGCAGAACAGCTAACAAGGGCTGATATGCACTTCTAGTGGTGTCAGAAATAACTTGAACAACCATATAATTCTTCACTAGTTGTTATACCAGAGAAAGAGATGTTTCCCTTTCAAACTGAAAACTGCATGCTGCACTGACAACAGTTGTCTTTACTTACAGCCTCCAGATGTTGACATCTGTATTTGTAGCACAGACAAAATGTATTTACTAAAGTACAACTTCCTGAACTGCAGCTTTTGCAGCACTGGTGGCACAAACTATTTCCAAATGACACATGGAAGAGATCTGCCTACCAGGAGATACTCAGCTGGTGCAGGATGAGCATCCCAAACCCACTGCTTTTGGCAATCAGTTACTACCAGCCTGCTGGCTTACTCAAATTTCTGTACATAGGCACTAATTATTACTAACTGCTAATGGACATTGATTAGAGCTATGGAGGGCAGTTTTATCCTCTGACTCATTATGTAGGTCTCAGATTACATAAAGTAGCAGCAAAAATAACCGATACAGACTTGTGTTTAATAATGTATGAGTAAAAGTCATTGCTACTACAAGGCTATTTTAGCACTAGACATACTGATAAGAGATGAAATGATCAGGAAATGTCAGGTGAGAAGAATGAGAAGTAAGTAATAAAATAGGATTTTCCAACTGGCAAAGGTCAGCAAATCTGCCTGACCATAAGCAACAAATACGTATCTGTCATCCTCGTACAGAACAAGATAACTTGGTAGTATCATCCTTCCTCTACCTTACAGAGACTGAGAGGATAGATTAATGATAAGGGTAACACTCATGTTTCTGGCCTCCTAAGACCTAGCATGAGAACTTGTCCTTCACTGATAAACTGGACATCCATTCCTAAGCTTCAAGATAAAATGTATGTAAATGTGTTATTGGAGATCCAAATAGACTTGGATTTCATACTGCTGTTATGTAGGACATACGTTTTTTCATACCATAGCTGCATAACTTAGTGCTTTACCTTCTATTACATACTTAAGGAGGTAAGGAAATATTGAGAAAAAAAAATAGACATTTATTCCTGAGAACCTATTTTTCTGGATTGGGTGCTGCAGAATCCCTCATTTCCCAGCCCATCAGCTGGAGTCGCATGGAAGCTACTGACACGTGTAAGCAGGAGGTGAGGGGGTGGTTGTAACCCAACACGCAATGAAACTTGGACAGGAGCGTTAACTTCCTAAAGCACAGGAGTGACCATGGGGGTACAGGGATCTTCGAGATGGGATGCTCTGCGGGAGGGCAGCCGATGGCCATGGGTGGCTTCACGGGTATCCCCAGTGATGGCGGCACTGTTTCGGGTTCCTGAGGAAACCGAGCCTAGAAAACTTTTCCGCTGCAGCACCAGGTGCATGCTCGGAGTATGCTCGTATTCCCAAGTGTTTACCAACTGCGGGGCCGGCCACAGGCAGAACCTAGTGCTTCCCTGTTCCCGGTGCCGGCGGGTAGCCCGGCCTCCAGCAGCAGCGCCAAGCTGCCCCGCCATCGCTCTAACCCGCGGGAGTCCGAACGCCACGTCTCCCCAACCAGCGGCCCCCCCCCGCCGCCATCTTGGTAACGCGCCGCCAGGCGGAAACCCACTGCCCCGCGCCATGGTGCGGGGTAGGGCGCTGTGGAGCTGCTGCCTGCAGCTAGCCGCGCTGCCCTCAGCGTCGGGTGGGCGAGGGAGGAAGCCGCAGCCGTTCAACGGCTCCTCCTGGAGAGCCCCGGAGCCGCCGCGCAGGGGGTGGAGCGGCACCATGGAAGAGGAGGAGGAGGAGGAGGAGGAGGAGGAGGACGAGCCTCCTCAGGGACGGCAGCAGCCCGGGAGGTGAGCGCCTCTCCGGCGACTGGCAGCGCTCGAGGGTGGGGGGGGTCGCTGCCCCCACACGTTCCTGTGGGCAGGGAGGGACCGAGCCGAGCTGCGCTCCCGCCCCGCGCCGGCCCGGAGGAGACGCACCTGCGAGACCCGGCGCGCTCAGAGCCCGGCTGGCGGCCGAGGGCAGGGCACCCGGAGCCGCGCAGCGCCGCGCACCTGCTCCGAGGGCGGCTCGCTAGACTGAACGGTAGTGGGAGTCCCGCCGGGTGAGTGTGGCGGGGGTACCGCGCTGAGCCCTGCGGGAGGCGGCAGGAAGCGGGGCTGAGGCGGAGAGTCCCGCCAGCAGGGCAGAGCGAGCGCGGGCGTCCGCTCAGGAAAGTTAAGCGGTGGGCGAGGTGCCGGGGCGGCTGAGTGCTGGCCCCTGGCCCGGAGCGGCAGCGCAGCCCGGTGCCTTCCCGCGCTCCTCGGCCCCTGAGGTGGGCGCACACTGCCGGTGGCGGGGCTCCCAGCCCCCGTAAGGTGCCGCGGTGGGTGGTGACAGACCCGGGCCAGCTCCAGAAACAGTTGGGGACCCGGGCACCCTTCCCACCGACGAGGGAAGCCCTGGAAGAAGTCCTGCCTTCTCCCCCCCCCCGCCTTCCCAGCGGCGATGCTTTCGTTTACCGTAAATTGACGGTAAAATATGCTGCAGCAGCGCTCAGAGAGAAACAAGTTACATAATTATATAATCGCGTGTAAGAAATAATACGCTTCATGGTATTGACGGTTTGGCCGGTGTTTTCCTTTGAAGGGGAGACGCGAACAGATGTTCTTGACTTGCTTGGTGCGAAGTGGAAGATATTAACAGTCATTTAATGTAATTAGTTAAATCAAACAATCCCAATGACCGGCCATTATCTCTAGTAAGGTTTTTAGGGAGAGGATGTGTTGAGTGTGTTGACGGCATGCAGTCAAGTTTATCTTCAACTTCTGCAGAAATGGCTTTTCTAGTGACGATTATGATTTCTTACTCCTTGCTTTGCTAAATGCCGATTATGAAGCGAGTTTTCAGTTTTAAAGGAAACTACTATAAGTGTTTTTCTGTATTTTTCAAACTACACCAACCAAAGTGATATAAAAAAATTAAGGATAGTGACAGGATAATCAAATCTGTTTCCTGGCAAAAGACTCTTGAAAAGTCATGTAGTTTTTAAGTCATAGTAGCAGTTTTATCATTTAGTAAAGTAGGAAGCTTCATTCATTTTGTAGGTAAGGCTTTAAGGAAGATAAGAAGAAATAAGATTTTTATGTTATTAATGTAAGAATTACTGCATCAGATGCTTTAAAAATGCCCCAAATGATCTGAAATCAAAATACCTATTATAAAAGTATAATGGGAATTTTGAACACCTGGAGATTAGAAAGTCCTCTCTGATTCAGTTGCTGTGATGGAGAGGACACAGTGGGGAAAGGAGGAAGTAAGGGACGACAGTGAAACGCTTCCAAATATAAATAACAGTTAATTTGCATTAGCTTGTCCCAGATCAGGAGAGATCTGCAGCCTCTTTAAAAGGATGCAATTATTATTATTCTCTTGTTTTAATAAGTAGATTTGAGGAATTGCCTCAGCAGAAATCTGCCATTTTCTCAGCCTTTATAAGTTTAAGATAGAACCCAAACTGCTAATTCTCTGTAGAGAAATAGCTTTTAAGTTCTTTTCTGCAAATGGGAAGGCGATTGTTTTGTCTGTAACAAGAAAAAAGGAGATGTTACCATGTTAATTCGTGCCTTTATATGTAGCACCTGCTGTGAAATTACTGTTTTCTTTTGTCACATCTAGGAATCCCTTCCTGATCTCACTTTGATTTTCTTCTAGTCAGTTGCTGTAAGTATGTAGCTTGCAGTATGCTGGATAGCACTGTAATAAGAATCCTACTTCTCATACACTCAGAGCCAGGATCAAGGTAAATCACTTGGTCATCTTACGTCTAATTGCAGCTTTGAGTAAAAAGGATTTTTCAGTAAACCAGATGTTGCACTTGGTTTGAATATCCTTAGGAAATCTAGGAAAGTAGCTACATGTTATTTACTGTTTGCATGTAGTATCTTAGTATTTAGCAGCTGTATAAAGAAGGGTTTTGAATAGCATACAACTGCGCCCAAGCAGATAAACATATAAAGGTTCAGCAAAGAGAACTGGGCATTACTAAATGACACTATGAAAACACGTTACTGTGTTGTCTGAAGTGTGAAAAACAAGGTTTGGTAAGATGTTGTGTGAGTGAAAAGTGGTAAGGAATGTATATTGAGATGTATATCTTGTATTTTCTTGTGTAAGACCTGTTACCATGGTTGGAGCTGGTAGTGCTACTGTCTGCTGAGTAAGGCTTATGATAAGATTTCAGTTTTTAATGCTTATAGTGTTTGGAAATAGTTCCAGTTGTTTGGGCAGAAATTCCCCATGCTTTGAGCCGTTTTTTGAGGGATAGTTTCAGTGAGGTTCAGCTGTTTCTGAAAAAGAGGTTGTGGCAATAACAAGTTATGTGTGTCTGTTTAGCTGTATTCAAACAAAACACTTTGTCTCTTTAAAACACTTACATATTTAGAATGGAGCCTTGAAAATTAGTAGATGGCTCATACGTATGCTGGAAATGTGCCTTGATTCTTCCATGAGAAAAGAACCAAAACAGCTTTTAATATTAACACTTTTGTTTTTGACTAATAACCAAAGCCCTCTGCATTTCATTCAGAGTACATGAAGAACATCATAACCTAGAGTTGTGGAGGTGGAGTAGAATGCTGGTTAAATATAGGAAGAAGGGTTGCCATGAAAAATGTTAACGTGTTTTGGTGTTAACAGTTTCCGTGGGTATTTGTGTTTTGCGGTGTCTGATGCCCTACCACTTGGATTTTTTTTTTTTAGTGGCTGTGTTTCAGTTAAAGAAGCATAAGAGCGCTGTATGGTGTGTGCTTTCTATCTTTCCACTGCGAGGTTCTGGAGATTCAAAACTTTTGTATTTGGAAAGGGTGATGACCTTTTGGCTTGCCTCATGTGAAAGATGGTCTTTGAACACTTATGTGCAGGTAAAACGTATCTTTCAACAAAGAAAAACTTCTAATTTCCTTATCTTAACTGACTTGAAAGTTATTTGTTTAGATTTTGATAAATTTGAAGTAAAATAAGTAGTTCTGTAAAGTACGTACGTGTATGGGGTGTGTGTACATACATATGCAGGCAGATGGAGAGAATGTGTTCAGAGAAGCAAAAGCTGAGCTTATGTTGAAATAAAGCAGGTTTAGAAAAAAATTAGGGAAATATTTTTATATTGCAGAGAAATGACATTGGGTCCTATGTGCTTGGACTTTGAACTGAAGAGAGGGAATCAAATACACAGCATTTAAATACGTACACAAACAAAACTATGACTGTGTAACAACTTAAAAACTAGCTTAGCGCTTGGGTGTTGCTGCACTTCCAGGACAGCTGAGGCTTTACAGTGTTTTAAAGGTTTATCCTCAATGTGAGTCTAGAAAAAGTTTGCATATGAGTTTGTTCCTTTCTGACATAGGGAGAAAAGGAAGCAGTAAATTAAAAGGCTTCATGAGTGAGGTGGAGATAGCAATTGTGCAGTTGCAGACATTAAAGTGCCAGACTTTATTATAAATGGAACTGCTTCAGGTTCTGCTTTGCCACAAGGATCCTGTGGATCAAGGTTTTAACATAATTTCTATGCACTTTTATGGAAACAGTTTTTGTGTTGCCTTTATGGCCATGTGCTACAAAGTAAATCAGATTTCTGCCGTAGCATGTTCAAGTAGAGCCCTAGTTTCATTAAACATGTAGTAGTATTTCTTTTCAGACACATCTAATTGATGTTAAGATGTTAGATGGGAAACCTTTACCCTCAGGACTGAGTGTGAGCATGTAATATTTTAAAACTTTATTTTAGTTAAGAAGAACCTGTTCTATCAGCTTCAACATGATATAATAACTTAAAATACTAAACCCATGATGCATAAGCTGATAATTCATGGGACTGGCTAAAGTGGATTCATAAATGCTAAACTTCAAAGACTGGTCATTTTTTCTCACAGTCCCAGTCTGGAAAGGTTTGCCTCTGTTATTAACTATAGGCACAACAGGAGAACAGCAATGAACTGCTCATTTGCACAGATACTTACAGGACTAGAGCTACTGACAGAACCCTAAAGTTGGTGTCCAGATACTGTTGGGTTGGTACAAGTTTCATCTTCGCTCTTTTGGAAAAGCTGTATTGAAATTCTGTACAAGTGTGAAGGGCTATCCATGGAGATTATCATTGCTGTTGGAATCCAGAGTTTATTTGCCCAGCTGTGTTCATGTGCCATCTTCTTTTCTGATTTAAAATTTGTCTGCATTTGGTTTGTGATTCGGCTCCTGTCTGGCATATCGTAACACAGCTTTAATGCACAAACCTCGCTTCTCTATGTTGTCAGCCTGAATCCTGCAGAGCAGGTAAGAGAATTTTAATTCAGCTCTTATGTTTTCAACATTCTTCCCTTTTCACTATGTAGTCATATGAAATTACTTGTTTAGAAGAGCAAAGGAAAGCACTCTCTGTTCACTGTAGGGAGATTTGGCTCCTGCTTGCCTTTGGTGAGTGCTTCAGCAATAGCACAGAATTACACTGCTCCTGTGTTAAGTCATAATGATAGTTTAGGCTGCTCTTTTAAATGTGATGGCCGCATGCCAGCTTTTGGATATTCAAGACTGCAGTAAAAGATGAGGGCAGAGAAGGAAATAACTTATTTTAATAGGCCTGTATAGCTGAAGATACTGGCTACTGGATCTGTACCGCTGTTAATGTGCGTGAATCCCTACAGACAACTACTGTCACATCAGCAACAGGGACAGGCATTTGTAGCACCTGGAAACAAAGGGAAAATAGTTAGGTATTGTTTCAGGAAGAGGCATCTTTATGCAGCTAATACAATGCCCATAGCTGATCAGATTTAACCCAGGGTTGAGAATAGTTGGCTGCAGGTACTAATAG